ATCCTTGTTTAAGTTTATTCCTAGGTATCTTTTTTTCTTTTTCTAATATGTCTTTATTGATTTTAGAGAGAGGAAGGAAGAGAGAGAGATTGAAACATCAGTGATGAGAAAGTCATTGATTGGCTACCTCCTTCACATCACCTCCTGGGGATGGAGCTCACAAACTGGGCTTGTGATCTTACTGGGAATCGAACTGTGATCTCCTCAAACATAGGTCGATGCTCAACTGCTGAGCCACTCAGGTCAGGTAGTATCTTATTTTTTAGTTGCAATGGTAAAGGGTATTTTTTTTAGTTTCTTTTTCTGAGAGTTCATTATTGGTGCATAAAAGTGCCATCAATTTTCGGATGTTAATTTTGTATCCAGCTACTGTAACAAAATCATTTATGAAATCTAGTAGTACTTTTGTGGAGTCTTTAGGGTTTTTTATGTACAATATCATGTCATCTGCAAATAATAATAGTTTTACTTTCTTCTTTCCAATTTGAATGCCTTTTATGTTTTCTTCTTTTCTGATCACTGCAGTAAGGACTTCCAGTACTATGTTGAATAAGAGCAATGAAAGTGAACAACCCTGTCTTGTTCCTGTTTTTAAGAGAAATGATTTTAGTTTTTGCCCATTGAGTATGATGTTGGCTGTAGGTTTGTCATATATAGCCTTTATTATGTTGAGGTATATTCCTTCTATTGCTACTTTGCTGAGAATTTTTATCAAAAATGGGTGCTGGATTTTGTTGAATGTTTTTTCTGTATCTATTGATTTGATTATATGATTTTTGTCTTTCGTTAGTTTACTTGATGTATCACATTTATTGATTTACAAATATTATACCAGTATTGCCTCCCCAGAATAAATCCCACTTGTTCATGGTGTATGATCTTTTTGGGTTATTGCTGAATCCAATTTGCTAATATTTTGTTGAGGATTTTAGCATCTATGTTCATCAGAAATATTTGCCTGTAATTTTCTTTTTTTGTAGTATCTTCATCTGGTTTTGAGTTGAGGATAATGCTGGCCTCATAAAATGAGCTTAGGAGTCTTCTCTTTTCTTGAATTTTCCAGAATAGTTTGAGGAGGATAGGTGTTAATTCTTCTTTGACTGTTTGGTAAAACACCTGTAAGTCCAGCTGGTCCCAGATGTTTGTTTGCTAGGAGTTTTTTGAATACTGCTTCAATTTCATTAGTTGTTATCAGCCTATTCAAGTTTTCTGCCTCTTCCTGATTCAGCTTTGGAAAATTGTATGTTTCTTGGAATTTGTCCATTTCACCCATGTTGTCCAGTTTGTTGGCATATAGTTGCTCATAGTATTTTCTTACAATCCTTTGTATTTCTGTTGGGTCAGTTGTTATATCACCTCTTTCATTTCTTATTTTATTTATTTGGGTCCTCTTTCTTTGTTTCTTGGTGAGTCTGGCTAAAGGTTCAGCAATCTTATTTATCTTTTCAAAGAACCAGCTCTTGGTTTCATTGAACTTTTGTATTGTTTTTCTAGTCTCTATGTCATCAATTTCTGCTCCGATCTTTATTATTTTCTTCCCTCTACTTTCCCTGGGCTTTTCTTCCTGTTCTCTTTTTAATTCTTTTAGTTGCAGCGTTAAGTAATTTATTAGGGCTTTTTCTTGTTTCTAGAGGTATGCCTATAATGCTATGGACTTCCTCTCAGGACTGCTTTCTTTGTGTTCCATAGATTTTGGGTTGTATGTTCATTTTCATTTTTTTCCAGGAATTGGTTGATTTCTTCCTTGATCTCATTGGTAACCCATTCATTGTTTAATAACATGCTCTTTAGCCTCCATGTATGTGAATATTTTTGAGTTTTTTTATAGTGGTTGATTTCTAGTTTCATGCCATTGTGATCCGAGAAGATGCTTGATATGATTTCAGTCTTCTTGAATTTGTAGAGACATGTTTTGTGTCCTAACATGTGGTCTGTCCTTGAGAATGTTCCATTTACACTTGAGAAGAATGTGTATTTTGCTGCTTTGGGATGAATGTTCTGTAAATGTCAACAAATTCATTAGCTCTAGTGTGTCATTTAACGTTTCTGTTTCCTTGTTGATTTTTGTCTGGATGATCTATCCAGTGATGACAGTGGGGTGTTAAAGTCCATCTCACCCTTAAGTTCCACCAAGAATTTTTTATATATATTTAGGTGCTCCTATATTGGGTCCATAAATGTTTATAAGGGTTATTTTCTCCTGTTTTATTGATCCCTTTAGTATTACATAGTGACCTTCTTTGTCTTTTGTTATGGTCTTTATTTTGAAGCCTATTTTATCAGAAATAAGTATTTCTACCCCAGCTTTTTTGTTGTTTCCATTTGCATGGAATATTTTTTTCCATCCCTTCACTTTCAGTCTGTGTGAATCTTTTGTTCTGAGGTCGTTCTCTTGTAGACAGCATATATTTGGGTCATGTTTTCTTATCCATTCAGCTACCTTTTGTATTTTGGTTGGATCATTTAGTCCATTTACATTTAAGGTTATTATTGATATGTACTTGTTTAACACCATTTCCCACCTTTATGCCTATGTGCCTTACTCTCTCTATTTCTTCTTCTTCTTCTTAAAGCAGTCCTTGTAGCATTTCTTGCAATGTTGGTTTGGTGATGTTGAACTCCTTGAGTCTGGGAAGCTCTTTATTTCACCTTCAATTTTGAATGATAGCCTTGGTGGATAGAGCAGTGTTGGTTGCAGGTTCTTGCTTTTCATTACTTTGGGAACTTCATGCCAGTCCCTTCTCGCCAGAAGTGTTTCTATTGAGAAATCTGCTGATTGTTTTTCTTAATTTGTAGAGAGAGAGTGGAAGGGAGAGGGACAGAGAGATAGAAACATCGATGAGAGAGACATATCATCAATTGGCTGCATCCTGTGAGAGAGAAACAGCAAGGATGGGCTGCCTCCTGCACACCCCCCCCC